AGTAAACCAAAGAAAGTGGGTGCCGGGCACCCTATGGTGTGGCTTGGCTTGCCCTCCCCATTTTTCTGCCATGCCAGAGGCCTTGGCTGTTCCTGCCAGCCAGGATCGGAGGGCATTAATGTGGTCAGTGAAGGCAGGGCTTAAGGGGGATGTGATGCTGATGCTGATGCTGAGAGCCAGCACTTTGTCTTCTGGTTGTGGTTGTGGTGGTTGTTTGTTTTTCCTGGGCTCTGTGCTCGATGCTGATGCTCAGCGCCAGGCGTGGAAGCTTTAACCACGATGATGATGATGATGGGCAACACAACACCGTAGGCCAAACCACCATGGCCAGCGCCTACAATGACCAGGCAAGAGCAAGCTGCGAATTGAAGGGGTCGCTCATCCTCTGCTCTTGCCAAGGACATTCTGCACAGGCACACACCCCAAATGCAAGGGCACCCCAAAAGTTGGCAGGCAAACATTTTTTTTTCCAAATGCCTCTGCTTCATGAGACCCGCTTGTTGTGAAATGGCTATTCCTCAAGACATAAGGTTCGATGGGAATGGCATCCTGGTGGCTTTCTGCTTTCTGGAGGACGCTGGGAGTCATAGTCCCAAAAGTAGACCTTCCAAGCTCTCAGTCATTGCAAGCCTCTGGGTTTCTTTCCTCTTTTACTCCCAAGCATGCTTTTGGAGCACCATGCTTCCCCAGAAGCAATGAGCCCATTTTTGGTTCTTGCAATCCCCCCAAAAAGTGCCTATATATATATGCAGCAGAAATGGGGATCAAAGACTGGAAATACTTCTTGGATGTGGCCACAGCTGCATGAATTCTGCTCATCTATGAAATTGTCGTTCATGGATACAAGTTTGGCATTTGGAAAGTTTTTCATTGCCAGGGATTGGTTTTTAAAATCACATTTAGGGGCATTGTGACAATGATGCTAATAGTGTGCATGTTGTGTGTTTAGTTTGTTCTTCTTCCCTACCTTGATCCATAGGGAGAGGAAGGTAAATAATAACAATAATAGCAGCTGATGTATGGCAGAGTAATGCAGAACCTAGGGTGAAGACTGTGTAACCAATGCTGGTTT